TGAACACACTGTCACTGGCTGCCAGACACACAGGTCTGATGTAGTCTGTGAATGTGACTGGTGAGGAGAGTCTGAGCAGAGCAATGTCGTTGTTGAAAGTGTTACTGTCATAATCCGGGTGTAACACTATCTCAGCAACATTTCTGGACACTTCATTTGGGTTAGCGCCCTGCTGGTTCTGTCGACCTAACAGAATGGTCCATCCTTGTGGCTCTGAGCTGAAGGTAAAACACAATATGAAAATTTAAACAGTAGGATACAGAAATATTTGTGTATGTGACCTGGTTCACCCCGCTTCTAGGAATGTCAAGCATTTTATTATTAGAAATCTCCATGCTGATACTAGCTTTGGTCAAACATTGGTCAAATGCCAGTCCTGACTGAATCATTTTAATAATAAAGGCCATGTTTGTGCTCATGTCACCCACCTGGAGAAGCAGTGAGCAGCAGACATCACCCACTCTCTGTTGATGAGGGAACCACCACAAACATGGCCGCCAAATGCCTGCAGGCTCGCCTGCCATGGCCAACTTCCAGCTAGAGCATCTTCACCTCCAACTATCCTGTTGTTCACGGGAGTAGTGCCGCATACTATAAAATACATCAGTGGGGACAGACTTCAGAAGCAAAATCAGAACACTTTCAAGTAATTATTCAATTGGGTGCTCAGGAGTAACCTGATTACAATTGGCTATTAGATTGTATCGACTCTTGAAAATGGGTTGTTCAAGGAAAAAAAAGGATTCTGTAATCAGATTAGATCATGTAATCCAGTCTTGGATTACAGTTTTGATGTGAATCAAACCTTCAGTATGTGTTGATCAAATCTTTTTTTATTGAGATTGTGATACCTTTGATTTTAAAAAAAAATATCTGGATTATCCTGATCCCTGCAGAAGGGTGGAGTCAGAGTGGATTTTAGGAACAGAATGTAATTAAACTTTTAAATTGGTCAAATACATATAAGATAAACTTTATTCCAGACTCAAGTTCATTTAAAATAATACAAAAACACAGACAATACAATAAAAACAACACAACACAACACAACACAACAAGTAGGTTTAAAACACATACAGGCATCTATTCCAGTGCTTCCAGAAGTATGACAAATATTTTGTGTCACTTTGTGCAGGCACCACTAGGGCCATGATGACTCCATTCTTTGGCTGGCTAAGTCGACACATAAAACTGTAAATATACTTTCTAAGAACAGAATGAAAAGTGGGCACATCACTGCTTTCAAACATATGGCTTGCACTTGTCCATCTTGGATGCCTGAGTAAAATCCTAAATGCATCATTATATGCCACCTGGATTTTTTTCATTTTTGCAGCACTGTAACTGCACCACAAGTGTGCAGTATACAAAGAAGTACAATATGACCTAAACAAAGCTATCTTGACATCATCAGTACACACAGTACATATAAATGTATTTACATTTTGCAATTGACTTTACTAACAGTGATAAAGTAGATAAAGTAGACCTTAGACTTGCAAGTCATGTTTTTAAAAAGGGGGTTTTAAAACTATCCCCATATGCAGGCAATATCAAATAAAAATCACTTCATATAAATTGTGATGACAAAGTAAAAGGAGTGTGTAATAATTGCACCCCCCTGCTGTTTTGTGTCTCTTCAATAAAAACACTTAAAGTGACCCAACGCCGGTTATTCTACCTGTTGTTTTTAAACAGTGAGTGGGCTACAAATGTAATATGTTTGTATCTGGATCAGGGTCATACAATCCAATGTTGCTTTAAAAAAAAATGTACAAAAGTAAAATGGATTAGCTGATCCTGGATAGCAGAGACTTCTAAATCCAGATCATTGTGATAAAGATTAAACTGGAATTAAATGTGTTTTTTTTTAAATTAATAAACCCAATTACAGCTGAACTTGTAAAATATTGGGGAAATGTAAATGCAACATTTCAACAAGACATTTAAACATATGAAATCTTTTCAACTCACCATCAAGCTGGGCATGTGACTCTAGAAAAGAGAAAAATAAATGGTTTATATATATTAATTCTAATTAGTCTGGGTTTTTTCCAGGCAAACACCCAAAAAGAAAAGAAACAGATTATGAACTTCCTGTTGCACAAATCTGAATTATTCTATATTTTTTTTAATTATTCTATTATAATTACTTTATCATAACATTTTCTAGCCATTGATAATGAGCTTGAATACAGATTCTACAACACCAACATGAATGTATAAATCGCTGCCAAAAATACTGATTTTTCTGAAAATTTTACTTTGTTTTACTGAAGGCAAATCAATATATACACCATTTAAAATATACAGGTTTTCTATTAAAATCATATTTTACATCTAACATTCAGCCACTCTGTGTTAAAAATACTCAGCAGTTGACCTTCATGTTCACAAGACAACAATAACAAGCCAAGATCAGAAAGACTTAAAAGTCACATAGCCACGTAGATAAATGAAAATAGAAAGTTAATTTCTGACAAGACTTTCTTCTTATATTAAACTATTTTTCCAGCAACTGCAGCTCAACAAAGGTGTTGGTCCAATCTAAGTGTGACTTACCCGCAGATAAAAGACCCGCTAGAGTCAACACGCAGATCCACTTCTGCACAGCCATTGTGTGACTGCATGGTTCGTGTTTGTCACTCTTTATAAGCCTGGTTTGACCTGTCACCTGCCATGTGTGGGAGTGCTCCTCCCACAAGGCACCCCACATAACATCTTGACAGTTTCCTTGTTACTTTTGCCTAGTTTTGGGGGAATGATTCCAGTGATCCAGTAATGTCATTTCATACGTACACAGCTTAGAGACCACTGTCCTAAGATTATGTTACAGAATATGCCATATCAAAGACGTGATGAATATAGCTTTGATCTTGATTAAAACAAAATCTAGATGAAAAATCCTTTAAATTTCCCCTTTTTTTGTAATGTGACATCTGAAATAAACCTTAATTATGAGTCCTGGTTATTATGACATAGGGTTGCCCCTTATTCACAGTTTAAACAGATCTTAATGCAGCACTATTGGTGCATAAATATTAAGGTTGGTCTTTACTACTTCTGCGTTCCAATCACAAGAGACAACCCTGTCACATATGACACCTTTGCAAACTCAGTGCAAATACCTAACATGTCCTGCTGTTGAGAAACAGCCAGCAGTGGAACAATTGTGCAAGAAGTGACAAAAGTGGCCATGGTCATTGTTTGTAGAAGAATCATGCATTTCAGCACCTTGGCTTTCCTGTAGTTAAATATAGTTTTTCAGAGACAAAACACCCTCTGGTTATGTCACTGCCGTCTTACAAACTAGCAATTATCATGCCGGCGTGACAGAGACAAAATATTCACACTACTTGTGACAGCTATTGATGGCTCACACTAAAAAGCATTTATCTACGGTATGAAGTCAGTTTAGCTTTGATTTTAGTTGCTGAGTAATCTGAAGAAGTTTATTCTCACCTCAAAACATGAACCACAGGCACCACTCATCGTAATTAAAAATAACAATTACCAGACAGGGATTAGGGGGAGTTGTTAGGCAGGAAGGGTGGGTGAGCTCTAGTGTTGTCATCTTGGAAACAAATATGTCAAAGAAGTACGTCACTTACAGAAAAACAAAACACTGACAAGCACCGTCACACTACAACGCATCACTGATAACTACTGTCTTTCAGCAAAATTGAAAAAACTAAATCTCAGAAAAGATAACGAACTCAACCAGAGTGATGAATTGTTCTTACAGACATGCTAATGAAAGGGATTATGTAACAGGGAACAATACTACACAGGTACGTTTATGTTCACACTATGGCTGCAACCTTTAGATGCCATCCATCATCTTCTTTCCGTTCTTTAAGTGCAAATATGCATTTTGACAGTAAGTAAAAAGACCCTTTCAAATGCAGTTATATAACACCACAGCACACTGTTTGCTTGGTTAATATTTGCTACCCTTGTTCTCAGTGAAATTCTGATTAACTTTATGCTCACTAAGTGGTCCCCACCTTATTTTTCTTTATTATCGACTACAAAAAAAGTTTATAACTCTGCTTGTCAAGGCCCCAATAACAGAGGAAAAATGCACATTATGCCATAGTAGAAGAAGTCATCGAGCGCCACCTGCTGAAGTGGCAATGTTTATATATTTCCTGATTGTTGACTAATTCCAAAGATGGAAACACCTTGAAGAATTTGCAAAATCAAAAGCTGGTAAATATTAGCACAAGATGAAATATATTGTACTGTTAATAAATAATGACAACTAAAGTACCTTGTTGCTCTCCATGCATTAAAAACAGCCCAAAAAAGCCACCCGTCCAAGTTACCATGCTTTCCTACTTCCTAGACTGATTGCACGGTCAATCGAATATTTTTGCTGTCCAAAATGACACACTGACCTCAGAAATAAGTTTGGGAGCTGGTCCCATATATCAGCAACTGCAGAGTTGATCCTGACTTACTTGAGGAAAGTGATAAGAGAGAAATAGAAACTTATAT